CCCCCCCCCCCCCCATCCTTGCATTTTCCACTACACTGAATGCCAAGATCTCTTTATTGGGTTCACTGGCCTTCACTGATGACAGTTGTAGGAAATTATGCATAGCAATGCCATTCCCTTGGGAACTTCCCACTGCAAGTTTTGCTCAGCCCTCAGAGCACTGAGGATAACCCACATAAAAGAATCTTCTCTTTTTCCTAGTTTATGTCATGCATTTCACAGCATCTTAGCTGTAATTCACCCATGAACACAAGAATTCCTTCATAAGCAAACAGCAGCATGAAAAATGACGTGCTTTTTCTAAAAGACATAGTAAAAACAAAAAGAACAAAATTAATTTAAAAGACGTCAGAATTTTTTTTGTTTCTAAATAATCGTTTCGAAGAAAGAACAAAATTTGAAAGACATTGTCAGAATTGTTTTTGTTTCCAAATAATCGGTTCAAGTGTCCTTTTAAAGTAGTTTCAAATGGTAATTAAGTATTTTCAAGGGGCTCTCCCACGCAGATTAAAAATCACTAAAACCAAAACAACAAACCCTGCAGAGCGTTGTAATAGAAGCATTTATACTATGAAAGACTGATTTGTCACAGATCATACTAATGGCTGCCAGCAGTTTGTAAAGTACTTCAGCAGTCTGGTTCCATGATCTGCCACTTGCTTTTCTCACTTCATGTAGCTCCGATTTGTCCTCCTAATGAACAGCCTGGAAGGGATTCGCTTGACTTCAGGAGACCTCTGCATTCTCGTGCTTACCCCAAAACAACCACGCAGTACAGTTTAAAAAGAAAGAACCATACACCAGAAGTAATGAATGCCTATGACAACAAAAAATACCATGTCTTAATTTCAGAACAGGGTCTTGTCCCAGGGTAAAAAGTATTTTATTGCTACTTTGTATGCTCCCTGATCACATAAAAAAATTTAATTGTGAAATGTCAGGTTTATTAATAATTTTTGAGTAGTGCTTCTCACAAGTACATTTTGTGCCCTGCCTCCCGATTTTCTAACAGCTTTGCAAAACAAACTGTTACAGCAACAAATGACATCCTGTATTCTCTTCACAGTTATTTAACTTATGCAAATGAAAGCTGTTGCTCTCTTTTTTTCCTATTATATCATCAATCATTGGGGAACAGGAATGAAGGAATAGGAAAACTATCACCTCAGAAATAACAAAAAGCCTTAGTTGTAGTTAATATTTTCTTCCATTTAAATTTATTTTCCTTTTTCTACTATAGTCACTGCTTTTTTTTTCTAAGGTTCCATAAATAAGTTACCCCTCCTTTTTCTTGAGGAGCCATAAATAAGTTACTGCAAAATTACCTAAAGTATTTTAAACATTCCACTCACAGCAGTCTTGTGAAGCAGGCCAGTGTTCTCCTTGCTTTGCAGATAAAGGCACCTTAGCTCTCTTGGCTCTGTATCATTGTGTCCTTCATAAATATAACTGTTCTATCATTTTTAGACTTAGAAAAACTGAAAACAAGTGAGTTTTCCAAGGTCACTCTGGCGCATTTGACTGAGACCCAGAAATGCAGCCCTGAGCCCCTTGCTCACAGACATTCTAGGCATCAGAGCACACGCTTCCTTCAGGCTCTCCCATCCTGAGGATACTGTCTCCATTCTTTGCTTTAAAGCTGAACTTTGACTACAGCCAAGAATCCCAGTAACACAGATCATTCATTGTCCTTTCACTGGTCAAGTGTGGGAAAACTGGCAACCTCAGCAGTGGGAAATGTACCTACTTCCTCCCAGAGAGTGAGCATGTTAATTAGCCAGCGCTCTCAGGACAAGAGCAATAGGCCATGGCTCAGGTAAACAAACACATGCACCTAACAGCCTACACAGGGCTCCTAGGTAGCATTATGAACTGAAAAAGTGCTCAAGCATAGGACTTACTGTGAAGGCCACCACAGCACCTCTGCAATAACCATTACTTCATAAAGGCATCTGGTCTAGGCCTGTAGTTAGTCTTGTAAAAATATATGGAAATCTTGAAATAAAAAGCAGAGGTAAGCACAAATCCTGGAGCTCATTATCAAGATCTATGCTAATTTTTCCCAGCATTATAAAAATCAAGAAAGAATTAAAAATATTTTTCCATTCACAGTAGTAATGAGCAAACATTTCCATTTGTGATCCATATGGATGTATCTCTCTTCTGTATCACAAACCCCTCTATTATAGAGATTATTTTACAGTTTACTGTATTAATGTATAATTGTATTATATTGTATGTATTATACAGTATATTGTATATGTATAATACAATAAAAGTATATATTACATACTGTTATACATTTACTGTTTAATACAACTCTGCAGCAATGCAGCTTCAGGTCTTACCATCTAATGGTTGGGCTGTATGGAATTCCAGCATCACAAAACCATAGGTTGTGCCTTGGCTGTTTTTACGTCAAAGAACCTTGGATACTTACACTGTGCTTCAGGAGCTCTGACAGTTTTTCATTTCAACTATGTAAGTTCTGAGCTCAGATGATTTCATTGTCCAGGTTTTATAAATCAGAGCTGAGGTCAGCACCACCAGCCACACTCTCATTGGGGAGAGGAAGAAAGCCAAGGTCCCGTAGGTTCGCTGGAGGAAATAGCAGGAATAGAGCTGCCAGGCCAGGAGGAGTGCCATGGCCAGGTGAACGAGCACAGCCACGGGGTGCCGGACCTGACGGATGTGAGAGCGGAAGCTGTGGCCCTGGCATCGCAGCAGCAGGCACCAGCACAGGTAGGCCATTAATGGCAGGTTGAAAAACAACATCTGAAAAGCAGAGAAAAGTAAGACCATGAGCAAGCCAAGTGTAACATACGTGAGGGCACAGAAAGATAAGAGCACGTAAAACTGTTCCATTCTAAGGGCTCTGAGTGCAGTTCCCAGAGCAGACTCTGCAGCCGATAGAACTGTGGCTGCCTGTGCCACAGTCCCAGGCCAAGCATTCCTGCCCCCTCCCTTGCACTGGGAGGCACTGACATGCATCTGACCTCTCCTGGAGCTGGTTCAGGGAGCTAGACTTGGCAAAATACTAGCACGGTAAAAAAGGAAGATCCGTATGTCTGACCCAGCCAACTGCAGTGTCAGACAAGTGTTAGCACTGGCACAAGGGAGGGACAATGAAGGAGGCAGCACTAGCCTGGTCTGGCTTAAATGCCAAGGAACTATACCCTCTCTTTCAGACTAATGGCAGCTGGGAAAACCAGAGGGCAGGCAATCAGACTGCTGGGAAAACTGGACTGATGGACTTGGAGAGGGACAGCTACTGATCTGAAGGGTTACCCAGCGTGCAAGGGCTGCCCGGGCCATTCAGGTCCTGCTGCTTAGTCACTGCAACCTCTGCATGAGCCAAGGACAATAGAAAAACGTGGAGTGCTAAATCTGTAGACATGGCCTCTAATCCAGGCATCCAGGGAGTCCAAAGCAACATCAAAGAGAGGGAAAGAGAAGTTTGAGAAAATAATGCACAACCTCCTGCTTTTCTGCCTTTTAAAACTACAGAAAGGTTAGAAAGAGCTGTCGTAG